AATGCCACATAGCTTTAGGGTTTAGGGGTTTAGGGGTTTAGGGTTTAGGGGTTTAGGGGTCTAGGGTTTAGGGTTTAGGGGTTTAGGGTTTAGGGTTTAGGGTTTAGGGGGGGTTTCCATAATCATGCAGTTTTGCATTTTGGGGCTTATGTCGGGCCACCTGTTCTTAGACCCACCCCAAAAAGGGGGGTAAGTAAATAACCCCTCTAAGCCACATATTAACCACAGTTATCCCCAGTATGAACCTACTTNNCCCCATGACCCTCCAAGTAGCCAACATGGTCCGAGGTACGTATGGTTTAAAGGCTTTGAGTTGATAGAGGACTTGAGCTTGGACCTTTTTACGTGGGTGATGCAGATATCGAACCACGTCAGAGGCTCAGCGGTCCTCCATAAGTAGCTCGGTAAGCAGTTGGGGTTGCTGCTGGAATTTGAAGCGGCCGTGGATGTGAGGACAAGGTTGGCAAGGCCGGCGTGCCGTTTCAGGTGGCTCAACATTCTTGGTCTCTGCCGTGGTTGGAGGCCGTCTTTCTTGTCAGGCTTGCCTCCAGCGATCCCTATGGGTCATGGTTTTGTGGAGGATAAAGCTTGGCTGAAGGTCTTCCAACGCTGACCACACGGATGCAGAGCACGCATCAAGAAGTTTGAGAGTTGCACCAGCCAGCGCAGCCAGCAGGAGGCCCTAAACTCCTCAGCGTCTGAAACCTAAACCCTAAACCGAAAACTTTAAACCCTAAACCCCAACCCCAAATACCAACCTCACAACCTGAACCCTTCTGACCTGACAGCAGCAGGAAGGAAACAGTAATTTCAACCCTATAAACCCCTCTGTAATCACAGTGTCCACTTGATTTTTCATATTCTTTTCCAATTGTTGGGTTATAATTGGGGTTTCCCACCCAGCCAGGGCCCTAAAACCTGATAAACCACAAAATCTCCTAAGCCCTGACCCCTCAAACCCTTAAAGCTTACGTAAACCCTGCGACCGAGCAAGGTCTTCCCACCCGGCCATACCCTGCTGCCTCTGCCGGGGCAGCTTCGGGGTACACGGGCCTACTCGGAACAGGACAGCCGCCAGGCAGTGGGGGTGCCAAAGGCATTCCAAGAGTTTAAGGGTTTAGGGTTTAGGTCTACTAAGGCTCGAATTGCTTGGGAGTTTAGGGCTTATGGCCTAACTTGTGGCTTGAAATTCCGTGTCTTAGGGTTCGATGTTTGGGTTTCAAGTACTCAAGGAGGGTTTACTAAGGCTCGGTTTTTTTGGGGGATTTTGGGGGTCTAGGGCTTAAGGCTTAGGAATTCAGCGTCTTTTGGGTTCAAGGTTTGAGTTTCAGGTACTCAAGGTTGTGGTGTTCGGGCCTTTGAAGGGTCAGGCTTGAAATGGTCTGCAGATCGTAGGTTTGACTGCGTAACCCAGTGTGTCTAGCAACGAGTGCACTGCAAACGGTCCGTTACCAGGGTTTTTCGTCTTTGCAGAGTTGGCATTTATCCAGCATTTTGGAAGCTTAGTGGGGAACATGGGAATACAATCCCCATATAATCCCTACAAAATATATTCCACTTCCTACCAAGAACCACGCCAGTAAGGTTTGGTTCAGTTTGGATGAACTTCTCCAAAAGAGCGTTGCTTCATGAGCAGGTATACGCGAGCTGAGACCAGTCTTTCCCTCCAGCTTTATCCGCGGGCCCCTAATGACGAGTATTCCCAGCAAGTACTGCTATAGACTAAGGGAACAAGAGCTATGAGGACGTGTGGTGGGGTTCCTTTGAGAATGACGAGGAGGGGCTGGACTTTGAATCCAGCTATGAAGACTTTAACCTGTAAGCGTAAACCTGCCTATCAGAAGGACCTGCAACAGGGCTTCATCAGACCTCGAGCCTCGAGATCAAATCAACAGCGCTAAGCTGAAACCCTAAATCAAGAATGCCCTAGACCCTAACTTTTGAAACCTATAGACCCTAAACCCCCAAAACCCCTAAACCCTAAGCCCATCAACCCAAACCCTGAGCCACTGTCAGGTTGGCTACGACCTGTCCCGACCGCATGACAGCGAAGTGGAGGACAATGCGCTCTGCAAGTCTCCGAGCTTCTCGCCGGATCCGGAGGTAATCTCCTGCTGCTCGGCCACCTGCGAGTTAGGATTTAGGGGGTATGTATGGGGTTCAGGGGTTATGGGTTTAGAAACCCACCGCAGTTGCGCTTTGTTGTGAGAATGCAGGCTTTTCCTTCGGAGACACTCGCGACCAAGCCGGCTACATAGCAAATGCCTCGGAGTCCCTGGACCATGCAGCTCGGCTTCTCTGTTTGGGTTCCTATACCATGGAACCCTAAACAATGCCTAGAAAGACCGTCCTTTCGACAAGTGGCTATGTGTGGTTCCATGCTATTTGTTGCGGGTCCAAAGGTTGAAAGCCCACCAAGCCTGCTCAGGTTGTTTTGGGACCGGTACAGTGCTGTCCGTTTCTTCATTCTAAACAGAGCACTGTGGCGTCATCAGGAGTCAGGTTAGCCCAGGCCGTTGCCGGTGGCTCCTTTCTTGGTCCCATGCTTCTGCCTTAGGATCCCGTATCTTGAGCAGGAAATAGGGCAATCTCAAAAACAATCACAATAGGAAAGCAATAGGCTCCGAGCCCAGTAATTCTTCAGGTATTGTTTTCTCAGTTTTGTTGATCCACTGTGTTGTCGAAACTTGCGTGTGGGATTGAAGTTGATTCATGGACTCGGCCAGCTGAAGCTTATCGCACGAATTACGTACTTCTAAGCTCCAGGGCTTAGGGTTTAGGCTTCAGGGTTTAGGGTTTAGGGGGACCCCTCAATCCAGGCCTTCTCGTGTTGGCGTCCTGTCTGTGCTATGCAGTTGCGCTCGTTTAGTTCCTTTCTGGGGATGTTGTCCGAAGGCTGTAAGGGCCGACTCTGCTGCTAGACCTTGCAGCAGAATGGACATATCTTTCTCCATCCTTCTCCGTTTAAATCTGTCCCCTACCACCGCAAAGTCTTAACAAAGAATTACTCTTGGGCTGTACCATGATCATCTTAATTGTGCTCAGAAGTCCAGCTTGAAAGCCACTATCTTCAAGCCGAGCCCTGCAATCTCTCAATCTCTGGCTCCCCTCCTGGCTTCCTAAACACCGAGAAAGCCCACTTGACAATTTCGAAGTCCTTGTGAGCATATGCCTAAGGGACTAAGTAAGGCACATGCAGGGGTCAGCCCCAAACCTTCAACCTACAACCTGGCGAACCAAATCTACAGGAGTTCACGCCTGACGCCTCGGCCTGGCAAGAGGCCGGATGAGTAGTATGTTTAAAGCGGATACACAAGTTCCAAATATACACTAGAACTGTGTCTTTTTTGGGTATGGTATTTCAAAGCTAGACGAATATGATCAGCCGTACTAGGTTCATCCACCAAAAAAGCTATGTATTCGGGTGGCCAATTCGTTTGCATGTTGGGGTGAGGATATAGACGGGAGGGATGGAACAGAAAGTTGAGTTGTAAAGCATTTGATGGGTACTCACGGTATTCTCTTGATCTCGTCTACTGCCAGCGGCTAGGCCGGGGACAGGTGGGTAGTTTGGTACTTCCCCTCGAATTGTAGCAGTTTCGCTTGCTCGCGTCGCCTTGTGACTATCCCATTGCTTGATTGAAGAGTACATAATTCAACTGCTACAGTCAAAGCAGAGACCACAGCAACCCGACTGTTGCCTAACTAGTTAGGTCCGCCCGTGGTCGCGTTGGAAGTTTGGCAGTCCTGAATCCTTCACCAGTTTCAACTGTTTAGCCCTCCTAAACTCCTAAACCCTGAACCCTAGAACCCTAGACCCTGAACCCAAAACCCTAAGCCCTAAATCCCAAGCTAGGCCGAGGCCTAGAAGACTCAATTCTGTTCAGGAGGACCCTTACGGCTACTAACTAACCTATTTATACAGGGTTGCAATCCCAGACCCCCTGAAGGATCCAAAGCATGGAACCCCCCCCCAGCCCATTGCGACATAGGGGAAACAAGGGGATTATTGGGGGGGTCCATTTTTGGATCCTTTAGGGGGTCTGGGATAAGGTTATAAAGAGCTCGCAGACGGCTATACTATATTACCTGTAACATCGTACTCTAGCTCCCGATGTACTACACTTTTCTAACTCCAGGCCCATAAGTTGCAATGGAAACGCAGTCTCCATTTCATTCTCCATTTTCTTTTCCATTTGGTTCTCCATTATTGGGGGTAATATCCACAAACCCTAAACTCCCTAAATCCTAAATCCT